CTGTCAGATTGTGTCAAATCAGTGTGTTTGTGTGTGTGTATGTCAGTGTAGCGGAGAGGTAGTACAATCCACAATATCTCCGCTGGTAGACAGGAACAGCATACAATAATCCAGGTAGCGTTACAATAATCCCTTCCTCCCAAGAAATAGACAACACATAGTCTGGGAGTAAACTGAGTTTTTATTCCACAGTCACAGTATTTATACAGTTCCCCATGCAAGGGGTTTCCAAACTGGTATTGCAGGGGTTTTAATCAAAGGGACTGTGTGGGAAACTGACCTTGCAGGGCTATTTCCCATCATGCCCTGCTGTACTGGAGAGATAATCACCAAGGAATGTACTGTTAATTGCATTATCTCTCAGTACAGCAAAATATAACATTTTACACAAAAATGCATAACTTGAACAATATTAGGTGGATTTATCCAAATGACTCCTCATTGAATAGCTGGGATCTGAGCGCACCATCTGGTGAAATACCGCTCAGATCCCTGCACTAGCATGAGAAAGCCATTTGAATGAAGGTTCATACGAACACATATTGCAATGTTTCCATAGACAGTGCTTTAATTTGGAGAACAGTGTCTGATTTAGACGAATGAACATTTTAGACGAATTAACATTTTAGACAAATGACATGGAAGTTCAGCGGTGTTCGTGAAGTTGATTTTAGTTCCAGGCACTCGACGGCCAAACACCGCTGGGCTTTCGTGTACAAAGATGGCCGCCGCCACGTGTTCGGCATACGAACGGCAGCCACCCGTTAAACACATTAATGAGCAGTGGATACAGTGTTGCAATCCTTAATGGGAGACCCACGACCCCCTTCTGTGGTCTCCCATTCGGTAGTTTATTAGTTTCATGATCAGTGTTGAAATTCACTGTTCGTGAAACTACCATATGAATGCTCGCAGGGTGTATGAATGTATCACAGAGCTCCACATTATAAAACTCTCAGTAATTTGCAGGATGTATGAATGCATCACAGAGCTCCACATTATAAAACTCTCAGTAATTTGCAGGGTGTATGAATGTATCACAGAGCTCCACATAATAAAACTCATAGTAATGTGTTGGATGTATGAATGTTTTATTTTCATGGTCAGAGATGGGTGTAAGCTCTGTGGTCTTGGGGCCCTGTGTTATATATTTTAATGGTCAGAGATGGGTGTAAGCTCTGCAGTACAGGGCCCCTGTGTTTCATTTTCACAGTTGACGATGGGTGTAAGCTCTGTGGTCTCAGGGCCCCTGTGCTATATTTTCATGGTCAGAGATGGGTGTAAGCTCTGTGGTCTCAGGGCCCCTGTGCTATATTTTCACAGTTGGAGATGGGTGTAAGCTCTGTGGTCTCAGGGCCCTGTGTTTTATTTTCAGTCGGAGATGGGTGTAAGCTCTGTGGTCTCAGGGCCCTGTGTTATATTTTCACAGTCGGAGATGGGTGTAAGCTCTGTGGTCTCAGGGCCCTGTGTTCTATTTTCACAGTCGGAGATGGGTATAAGCTCTGTGGTCTCAGGGCCGTAGGTTTTATTTTCACAGTCAGAGATGGGTGTAAGCTCTGTGGTCTCAGGGCCCTGTGTTATATTTTCATGGTCGGAGATGGGTGTAAGTTCTGCACGTGACACTGTACTATGCAGTGTGCATTTCTTTTTGCGAAGTCAGACAGCAGCCCTTCCTGTGTCTGTTTCTTATTAACAGTCATCAGCTCCCTCCCACCCTCCTCACTTTTTGACTCTGTATCAGGACATAGAGGGTCGGCCACGTTTGTCTCTTTGCATGATGGGAAGTGTAGTTTTAGACCGGAGGTGACAAAATCCTTTTTTTCATCTTTGTTTGGTCATAGTTTATGTGATTTTTAAAGTATAATTAAACCATTATCCAACATGAAAAACGAGTGACGACGACCAAGGAGAATGTCACAATACCTGCCTGTTATTATTATGCACGTGATGCATCAATGCTGTTATTACAGTTTAATTTGTCAGTCAGTCACGTGGTTTGGAAGCCTTTTTGAAACTGACATTAACAGCAAAAGTGTCAAAGGTAATATGGGGGACAAAAGTCACAAAATTCAAAGCTTCATATCGAATTAGAAATATTTGTAATTTACACCCCAACATGAAATATGCCTTTATAGCTGCAATGCAGCTATAATTATTTAAGAATTTAAATGACACAATAACATGGTATAATACAATGAGCTGCAATAATACAATAAGCTGTAATGATAGAATGAGCTGCAATAATACAATAAGCTGTAATGATACAATAACCTGTGTGACGGACTGCTGGCACTCCAACCGAGTACCTCCCCCAATCGATGCTCCTAGCGCTTGCTGAGGACTCCGAGCACTCCAACCGACACCATCAGCACTGCGGACCCCACTTCCAGCGATGCAGCTGCGCTGGGGTCTCGCCGTCTCTCACCCACCCTGGATCCATGACCAGGATCCAGCTCCCAGTGGGGATCGACCATCACCTCCTCCTGGAACTCAGGCTGCCGCTGGGGAGGGAGACCGGTTGTCTCCTCTCCCTGCAAAGTATACAGCCGCTGGGGAGCAGGACCGAGTGTCCCTATCTGAACAGATGTTGGTAGCTCTGCTCCAGCTCCCACTCCATTGTGACCAGATGAATCAGGTCTGGCCCCAGGTCGTCCACTCGGGAAGATCCAGCAGAGTTTCCCTGATGTTGTGGATGTCCCAGAGCCGATATTCTGCGGGGAATCCAAAGTCATTGCCCTCCTCAAAGGCCTCCCACAGTAAGCCCGGGCCATTATAATCCTCTCCTTCCGGCAGATAGTGGTTAGTCATCCAGGGGTTGCGCTGGGTGGCGTACCACTTTAGTGCCCGGTAAGCTCCATCCAGCCACAACTCCTAGAAAAGAGGGACTTTCCCTCCTACATAGGGACACTTGGGAGGTATGCTTATCAGATGGCTACAGATACTGCACACACATTTCCAAATCACCAACTGTGTGTAATGGTATTTCTAGCTAAGTGCTGTCCTCTAGTGGCTTATGTTTGCAATTATTACATGAATTGAAATCTGTTGCTCTAAGTAGTCACTGGTTTTTCATAACAGAGAAGCAAATTAAATAAATTTATGACCCTGCAAAAAAATATTAACGTCTGTATCGCGCCATACTTGAGACTGAAATGATGGTCTAAACACCTGGTATTATACACTCACTTAGAGCGCACAGACAAGCTGGTATCCTGCGTTGGGATACTTGGGAGTACATTGTCAATTCCTTTGCAATTGTCTACTAATTCCTGGTTTAATTAACTCTGACACTAAATAAAACCCAAGAATTAGCAAAACTGAGATAATTTGAAAGAAATTTTTTTTTTCAAAATTAATTTGTTGTTTTGCCAGGAGATTCCTGCAGCTGTCTCTCCATTTGAGAACAGTTTAACCGTGTGTTCCATCTCTGAATCTCCCTGTCTCTCTGCCCTTCCATTTTCTAAAAATCTCTAAACCGGAAGACTCTCTCAGAATCATGCAGCAGCGCCTCTCATTCGCAGACGCTCTCAGCCATTCAGTTAATCCCCATTCATACAACTGACTTGGAAAATGTACGTTTATTTTTCATTCAAGAACAGTTTAGCCCCATAAGGTGAGCCAGTGCTAGGGACTTCCTGGCACCATAACAACTTAATTTCAATAATACCTAAACTGTTCCTTTAAAAGAAAACTTTAGTGTCAGGAAGACAAACCTGCATTCCTAAAAATATAGTGTGCCTCTGCCCCCATGACCCTATCCCCCGCCACAATGAAAGATATAAAAACCCTTTAACACCTGTTCCCACTGCCGAGGTCGCTTGGCGCTAATTCTGTATATGCCTCCTCCGATGTCAGCCGGAGGGGAACCTAATGGGCATGTTCAGTGAGAGCCAAATGCACATTTGGCCTTCACCATAGGAAAGCATTGAATCAGGACTTTGCTATGGGTGTTTACATGCAAAGCGTGAGGACGTCCAGCGTCATCTCACTGACTTTGAATCTGTGAAACTGCAGGAAGTGCCCCTAGTGGTTGTCTGGAATACAGCCACTAAAGACAGTCTTAAGCCTGCAATGTAAACATTGCAGTTTCTCTAAAAATTGTTTACATTGCAGGGTTAAGGAGACAGGGACACTGCACCCAGACCACTTAAATGAGCGGAGATGGTTTGGGTGCCTATAATGTCCCTTTAAATTTGAAATTCGAGAGGGAAGATTCGAGAGAGACATTTGTTTCAACTAAAGCCTATTCTTTTGCGCAAGTAACAAACTAGAAGCATGCTTTTCAGTGTTAGTTATTGTTTTGAATAACATATCTCCAGTTATCTGTTGGATATTTTAGTATTCACATTCTCATATGGAAGAAGTAAAAGATATTTTTAAAGATAAAATAAAAAATAGTACAGCGGACCGACTTCTTCTTTCAGACACGCTATCTGCAACATGAAAGGAAACCGCAATACTTTGTTTTTTTCTTCACCTCGAAAGCTTCAAACTGGAGGAAAAAAATAGCCGGAGTCCTCATTTGTTAAGGCTGCGATATATATGTTTAAATTAGAGTTAGATGGTTAAATCATACGCCCCTCTATCCCCCCTGCACAGCTGTACCATGATTAAATAAATCAGGAACACCCTTAGATAAAGTAGTGTAGGACTACATTTCTGCTAGGGGTATTTCAAAGAGTGGTAAAAAACAAAACAATTTCATTGGCTAGCATTTTGTTCGGTCTTTTTTCGGCCCAGCTCTGTGACTTAGAGAAGGGTGTAGCTGCGCTCGCTGTGTAACACTTAACCCTTTTTATGCTCTCTTACATGACGATCATTAGTTAGAAACATATTCAGTTTATGTTATTCACAAAAAGAATCTTGCATTCCTTCCAATCCAATTGCTTGTCAAGCCAAAATAGAAAAAAATAAAAACACTTCAGGATCGCACTCTCATGACTTGTACAAAAAAAACGTAACTTTTATTATCTTAAAAATCGGCGTTTCAGTTTGATATACTCAGACTTTCATCAGGACTTGTTATATACTTATATATGTGTCTGTTACTTATTGTCACTTAATATTTATTCTAATTGTTATTTACTAATATACGTAAAGTGACTGAAAACATGATTCATGATTACGTTTTTTCTGGAGGTTAGCAGCTAAGCAGATGGTCATCTTGAAGACAAGATATCGGGTAAACACATCCTAATTTTGGGCATATTCGAGGCAAACTAGCAGGGCCGGATAGATTGGAAGCAGCTGTGTGGAGCCGAGCAAGGATTGCTTTGTTAAACATTCTTTAAAACATTGTTTGTTAATTTAGCTAAATTTTAATGCATAATCCATCGTATCAAAGATGACAAATGGTCTATGTTACTTTACCCATAACAATTAGCATTCGAAAATATATCCAGTGAAGGTGTAAATATTAATACAGCAATTCTAGCTTCTATCCAGGAGAGAATAATGTTAATTTATACATTTTATCTTTATGTAAGCATGTAGATACATAAGGGTGAATCGTGCATTCTGGGATAATTGTCTGGGGACATCGTAATAAAACATGTGACAAGAGGTCGAATCTCAAGAATCCTGAGATTTCACTATTTTCCCCTGTTATGTGCTCTAGTGTTCTGTATCTTTTATATTACTTGTTTTTTAAAGATTCATTAAAGGACCACTATAGTGCCAGGAAAACATACTCGTTTTCCTGGCACTATAGTGCCCTGAGGGTGCCCCCACCCTCAGGGTCCCCCTCCCGCCGGGCTCTGGGGAGAGGAAAGGGGTTAAAAGTTACCTTTCTCCAGCGCCGGGCGGGGAGCTCTCCGCCTCCGATCCTCCTCCTCTCCTCCCTTTCGGCTAAAGGCGCACGCGTGGCAAGAGCTGTGCGCGCATTCAGCCGGTCTCATAGGAAAGCATTTACAATGCTTTCTTATGGACGCTTGCGTATTCTCACTGTGATTTTCACAGTGAGAATCACGCAAGCTTCTCTAGCGGCTGTCAATGAGACAGCCACTAGGAGATTTGAGGGCTGGATTAACCCTAACATAAACATAGCAGTTTCTCTGAAACTGCTATGTGTATAAAAAAATGGGTTAACCCTAGCTGGACCTGGCACCCAGACCACTTCATTAAGCTGAAGTGGTCTGGGTGCCTAGAGTGGTCCTTTAAAGAAACTTTGTAGGCACTATAACCACTTCATCTTATTGGAGCCGCTAAAGTGCCTTTAGTCCTACCCCAAAATGTAATATTTTAATAGGTTAAAGGCTTGGAAGCACCTCCAAGCCCTTTGGGTACCAGAGACGGGGATTACATCCCGGCTCTCATAACATAGCATACCCTGACTGACGTCATTTGCACATGCGCAGTGCTGCCACGGTCTGTCAGTGATTCTCTATGGTGGCATCATAGGTGCATCGCGGTGACTGTGTGCTTACGATCCTCAACAAACAGCATTCTGGAGGCACGGCTCCAGAAGGACATCACTCAAGGAGGACCAGGTGGCAGTATAGAGGGAGACTGGGCCCTGCAGAAAAAGTGTGTAAAATTATTTATTTAAATTTTTACAGTGCATGGTGGGGGGGATTCATGAAAATAAATAGGGACAGGGATACTATAGCATTAGGAAAACATATGTATTCCTAATGGTATATTGTTCCTTTAATAGAGACAGCTGTGTCCTGTGCGTCCTGATAGTGTAACTCCCATCAATTGTGGCAGATCAGTCATGTACCTCCCAGCACTACCATGAAATTAGGTTCCCCATATAAAATGATAGCAGTAAGAGGGAAGACCTCAATGAACTAATGTTTATAAGGGATTGTATGAGGGTGGATTTAATATTCAGCATGCCCCTATAGCTTTATCACAGCAGCTCTATGAGAAGCCTCTGACTGGACACCAGCCCTGAATAGACTGAAAGTCTGGGGGGCATGCTGAGGGCCTTAAAATGCTGCAGATACAAGATCTGCAGCTTTTGCAGGATATACGCATTAACCGTTGCTGGATATCGGTTTACAGATTACAGAATGGATGTAGAAGTAAGTTACACTTGGCAAGTGCTGCACAATACATTAGGAACGATAGAATATGAGTATTTATTTCTGCATAATGTTTTATTTCATTATCTATGAAATTTTTTAGAAACGCGGGTCAATTTTTTAATATTGTTTCCCTGAACTGATCATTGACGTAGAAACAAAAGAAAGTATAATATTGTTATTCCAGACCCCATTACCAATCAATACTTTGATTTTAAAAGTTTTGGAGAAAGCTGCAAAACCACACAGTGAATCATTTAATTTTTCCATCATCTTTATTGAAGGAAAGAGCACAATAATGTTTTTATTACTTACTGAAACGGATACATGTCCATTCTAGAAAATTCATGTTTAAAAAACTTTTCCAGACAAAACAAAAATGAAAAACAAGATCTTTGATTCTGGCCAGAAAGCATTGCAGGCACAACTTGGACAAAATCATCACAGACAACCAGAAAGTGAGAGCTCCAGGAGCCTGATAGACATTTCTAAGTGGCTATCTTATGGTCGTGTGAATTTTACAAACCTCTGCACTTATAAGTCAGTGTCAGAGTTGTGAATGGGTGCCATGTACTCTCTGTAATATAAACATTGCAAAGTAGTTATTATGTTTAGAGTGACCCTTTAACTCCACACACATTATATTAAATCAGCTGTGTACATTACTCCCAATTCCGGACACGTGGAATTGGGACTGGATCTCTCATATTTGGGGCAGAAAATGGTATTAATGGCCCCCAGAAAATGGACAAAGTGTTGGATGGAGAGATGGGGAACGGGACCAAAGAGGGCATATTTGTAATGTTCTGGAGCCAACTATGAGCAGAGAGACTTGATTAGCATCCAATCTGTGGTCCCTAACACAGTCCTCCAGGATTTTTACCAATTCTTTTCCACTGAGGTACTGAGAAATCCTGGAGCATCAGTGTGTCTTGAGGGCTGGGATGGGAATCACTAAGGAATATATCAATGATGTAGGTTTTCTCAGGTACCACGATGTTCAAGAAAAGTGAGATATCTGACTTTTTGTGTATCCTATATTGAGGGATGGGAGAGTGACAATGGCCTTCTAAACAATGCAGATCAAAGAAATGGACATCTAACAAAGACCATATTGGCCAGTCAATACCTTCACAAACACAAACCTCTGAGTTTTAGTTTGAAAAATTTATGTAATTATCAGCCCATGATAAGAAGAAACCGCAGACTCGAAATAAGCTATACGATGGTCCTCCTAGTCCCACCATTATTTATTGAAAAAGTGAAGAAAAAAGAAAAACAAAACCTAGGAAATAGAGTTCCAGGTGTCCTAAGATATATTAAGAATATTCTTAAATACCCATGATGATCTCGCTGCAAGCCTTGGCATGGAAGATAAGATATTAAGACAATAAGCTCTCTGTGTAGTTTTACGTTGAGTAGGTGGGACGGATCACCACCATGTATGTGTTGGATCTTGAGGAGCATGGGAAGTTGGTGCCAGTGAGAGTAGCTGGGTCTAGCAACATTTGCTGCTTGAGCTCTTGTATTTCTGTGACGATGGTTCCACCACATTTCATCACTAGCATATTCTGATAGCGAATGTTAGGAGTGACATTGCTTGAGCTGAATCTAAAACCAGGAAGAGAATTGGCAGAACAAGAGAATCCATGGTTCCGGCAACTGTGTGTGTTGGTCAGATACATAACAGTCCACTGGGTCTGAGAAGATATGAACAGAGAACTGGGGTGTCTGGGCGTCCTGAAGGATCGATTACTTTGACTGTAGTACGAATTGGTTTGTGCAGTTGAACTCCATGTAGAAGAGGTATAGATTCTAGGTGTGTAGGCATCTTTAGATAGGTTCATATAGCGGTTTAGGGCTTGGTAAGATAAAGTGTGGAACATTAAAGCCTGAACAAAGTGTTCATGGAAAGTGACTTTATTCTTTTCATACATAGATACATTGAACTGGAGTTTGAGAAGCTCTTCTGGTGTCATCATCGGGAACCTTACTGTCTCAATAAGCTCTTTTGTGAGTTCTCCCTCCACTTGATTGGAAGTTATCCACTTTTGCACTGTTTCAAGTACTGCCCATTCACTCATGATAACCAAATCTGACCTAGAAAGGATAGATCGCAGCTGGCTAAAAGTGACATCATTCCACACCTTCGACTGAGAAAACAACTCGAAATTCCAAGCAAAGTATCGTAGACACAAGTCCCGCAGTTTGGCATCAGAGCTGGACTCTGCATAGTTAAGGAGTTCAAGCTGTTTTTTGAAAGATGGATCTTCTGGGATTACGATGGAGAAGAACTGGGCGGTGTACTCCTTCAGACTGTTAACCTTGTAGGTGGAAGCTATCTGGTGGATACACTTTAAGGAGGACAATGTCACCTTAATTTTATGACTATAGAAATACCTAAATAACAGAGAAAGGACATGTTAGTACATCCATAGGACTATGTAAACAGTTACAGATAATATATAAACGGTTGTCAACCTGATTTTTTTGGTACTATGGCATTTCTTGCCTACACCTTAAAGGAACACTCCAAGTACCATAAGCTCTACAGTGTGATGTAGTGGTTATGGTGCTTAGTGTCCATTTAAAGTTCTAAGCTGTGGAACTCCAATGCCTATGACGTTTTAGAAGTGTTTTACAGTCACTAAAGTTATTGTACCCCTGCCAGAAGTCCTCACCTGATAAATATTTTTGCTTGCGATATACATTCGTTCTGAACGGTGAGCGTGAATTTGTTGCCCTCTCCTCCCAGAAGGAACTTTGCCTCCGGATTAAGTTGAAGGATGAGTCGATGAGCACAGATTTCTGTAGACACAGAAGGCTTATTTTTTCCAGCCACTGTGATAAAGTGATCACAGTTCTTCTGGCTCTCAAAAAGAACTGTCAGGGTCTCGCCGATTTCACAGGAGTTATCCAGGGTGTAAGCCGTGAAATTTCCTTCTACAAGACATTACAAAATATAACAATCATAACAATTTTATCCTCATAACAATTTATAATCAGTGGCAGTGTAAGTAATGCTGATTAGTAATAGTATCCAAGAATAAACTTAGGCTAGGTTCCACCAGAAATGGGTAGTTGATCATGATGTTATGCTAAGTATGGATACAGATTTATAAATAATAACTAGTATTTATATAACTCCTTTTCCCCAGTGAGACTCTAAGCACTTTTCAGTGCACTCTTTCAGAATAAACCTAATTGGCAGCTAAATAATAATAGATGTTGTTATTACCCAATTGATGGTAATGGAAAGGAATCCTCTATAGAGGGACGGGGTCTTAGTTCCCGCGTGCAGAAATCTCTCCAGGTTCCAGCTCACTCAGTTCCTTCTCCATGAGCTGGTTCATCACCATGTGGCTTTTTCTGCCGGACTCCATGCTGATGAGCGGTGGCTGGTAGAAGCACCTCAGTGACTGGGTGAATCTGCCCCTAGGGATTTCACTGCCCTCGAGAGAGTGGTTGGGAATTACCCCCAGGATAGTGATGTTACACAGAAGATGGACATGATCAAAGAAGTGGGTATTATATACTGCTGCTAGTGCTGAGTGTTGAGTGCTGGCTGCACTTCTCTAAAATTTTAAGTTTGTATGAGAGTATGTATGTGTCAGTGTGAGCGTCTGTCAGTGTGTGTGTGTGACTGTCAGTGAGTGTGTGTGTGTGTGTGTGTGTGTGAGAGAGAGAATGTCTGTCAGTGAATATGTGTGTCTGTCAATGAGTGTGTGTGTCTGTCAATGAGTGTGTGTGTCTATCAATGAGTGTGTGTGTCTATCAGTGAGAGTGTGTGTCTTGACAGTGAGCCTGTGTCTTGTCAGTGAGCATGTGTGTCAAATCAATGAGAGTGTGTCTGTCAGTGTGCATCAAATCACTGAGAGTGTATGTCAGTGAGTATGTTTGTCTGTCAGTTTATGTTTGTATGTCAGTGTATGTCCATCAGTGAGTGTGTGTTTCTGTCACTTTAAATGTGTGTTGGTTATACTGTTTGTGTGCCAATGACTGTGTTTCTGTCAGTGAGTGTACATCAGTGCCTTTGTATGAGTGAGGGCATGAAGGGGGCCCTTCTAGATTTCTTGCACCAGGGCCCTGTGATTCCTAGTAATGCCATGGGTGAGTGTGACAGGTTTTAAAGGGTAGGTGTGGCAGGGTGAGGGTGGCTAAATGTGACAGAGTTAGGGAATGAGTGTGACAGGGTTAGGGGGATGAGTGTGACAGGGTTAGGAGGGTGAGTGTGATAGCTGAGGTGTGGTTACTGTGACAACAGAGGAGGAGTATAGCCCATAATACAACCCTGATCTGACCATACAATAGCTCTGACCATATGGAGCCCTGATCTGACCATACTACAGTCCTGATCTGACCATTCAGAAGCCCTGATCCGATCATAAAGAAGCCCTGATCTGGCCATATGGAAGCCCTGATCTGATCATACGGAAGCCCTGCCCATAGGAAAGCCCTGATCTGACCATACGGAAGCCCTGATATGACCATACGGAAGCCCTGATCTGACCATACAGAAGCCCTGATCTGGCCATATGGAAGCCCTGATCTGATCATATGGAAGCCCTGCACATACGAAAGCCCTGATCTGACCATACGGAAGCCCTGATCTGACCATACGGAAGCCCTGATATGACCATACGGAAGCCCTGATATGACCATACGGAAGCCCTGATATGACCACACAGAAGCCCTGATTTGACCTTACAGAAGCCCTGATCTGACAATACGGAATCCCTGATCTGACCATACGGAAGCCCTGATTTGATCATAAGGAAGACCTTATCTGACCATACAACAGTATGCCTTGATTTGACCTTACAGAAGCCCTGACCTGACCATACGGAAGCCCTGATCTGACGGAAGCCCTGACCTGACCAAAGCCCTGACCTAACCATACGGAAGCCCTGATCTGACCATACAGAAGCCCTGATCTGACCATACGGAAGTCCAGATCTGACCATACGGAAGTCCTGATCTGACCACACGGAAGCCCTGATCTGACCATACAACATTTCTGACCTGACCACACGGAAGCCCAGATCTGACCAAATGAAAGCCCTGATCTGACAATATGGAAGCCATGACCTGAGCATTCAACAGTCCTGACCTGACCCCACGGAAGCCCTGAGCTGACCACACGGAAGCCCTGATCTGACAATATGGAAGCCATGACCTGAGCATTCAACAGTCCTGACCTGACTACACGGAAGCCCTGAGCTGACCACATGGAAGCCCTGAGCTGACCACACGGAAGCCCTGATCTGACCATACGGAAGCCCTGATCTGACCATACGGAAGTCCTGATCTGACCATACGGAAGCCCTGACCTGACCATACGGAAGCCCTGATCTGACCAAAGCCCTGACCTAACCATACGGAAGCCCTGATCTGACCATACGGAAGTCCTGATCTGACCATATGGAAGTCCTGATCTGACCATACGGAAGCCCTGATCTGACTATACAGAAGCCTTGATCTGACCATATGGAAGTCCTCAGCTGACCATATGGAAGCCCTGATCACACGGCCATGCGGTTCACAGTCACGGCAAAATCAAATAATATATAAAATATAATGTCAGCAAATGCCTGAGTGATCTCGATTAATCAGTTGGTTACGCTTACTTTTGAAGAACATTACCACTACGCATTTTGATGTTAATTTTTTGTTTTTATTTAAGATTTATATTTTTCTTTTTCCTTTGAATTCCGTTTAATTGCATTAAGGACCACTATAGTGCCAGGAAAACATACTCGTTTTCCGCACTATAGTGCCTAATTGCCCCCCACCCTCAGGGACCCCCGTAACCTGGAAGGGGAAAGGGGTTAAAACACCTTTTTCAGCGCTGATGAGGAGCTCTCTGCCTCCTCTCTCCTCTCCATTCCTCCTCCTGGGCTGAGATAAGCGCGGCCCACGCGTAAGAGCTCTTGTAGCGCATTCCAGCCGTCACTATAGAGAAAGCATTTACAATGCTTTTCCTATGAACTTTAAATTAACTCTCACTGTGAAAATCACAGTGAGAAGCACGCAAGCGCCTCTAGTGGCTGTCAATGAGACAGCCACTAGAGGATTAGGGGGAAGGCTTAACCCATTAATAAACATAGCAGTTTCTCTGAAACTGCTATGTTTATAAAAAAAATGGGTTAACCATAGAAGGACCTGGCACCCAGACCACTTCATTAAGCTGAAGTGGTCTGGGTGCCTAGAGTGGTCCTTTAAGCTTACTACTTGTGTCGATATTCTATTAGTGCTGTATAGGTTTGTTTTTTTCCCCATGAAGTAGGGACTAGCTTTCTTGATACTTGATAAAGAGGTCAATTTAGTCATTTCATGACTGGGGTGGGCTGGGGGGGAGGGGGAGGGAGGGGCTAGCTTTTTTAAGGGGTGCCAACAAAGGCACAGCAGTATAGCACAATACATACATGGTGTTTTTATTCTCTTCTCCATATTCCTAGCTGCCTCTAGCTAACCTGTTTAGCTAACCTTCCCTCCTTTACTTTAAGACACATATTCATAGAAACATAGAATGTGACGGCAGATAAGAACCATTACTAGTCTGCCCAATTTTCTAAATACTTTCATTTGTCCCTGGCCTTATCTTATAGTTAGGATAGCCTTATGCCTATCCCACGCATGCTTAAACTCCTTTACAGTGTTAACCTCTACCACTTCAGCTGGAAGGCTATTCCATGCATCCACTACCCTCTCAGTAAAGTAATACTTCCTGATATTATTTTTAAACCTTTGTCCTTCTAATTTAAGACTATGTCCTCTTGTTGTGGTAGTTTTTCTTCTTTTAAATATAGTCTCCTCCTTTACTGTGTTGATTCCCTTTATATATTTAAATGTTTCTATCATATCCCCCCTGTCTCGTCTTTCCTCCAAGCTATAAGTTTTATCCCGCAATCCATGAACCAGTTTAGTAGCCCTTCTCTGAACTCTCTCTACAGTATGAATATCCTTCTGAAGATACAGTCTCCAGTACTGTGTATAATACTCCAAGTGAGGTCTCACCAGTGTTCTGTACAATGGCATGAGCACTTCCCTCTTCCTACTGCTAATACCTCTCTCTATACAACCAAGCATTCTGCTAGCATTTCCTGCTGCTCTATTACATTGTCTGCCTACCTTTAAGTCATCATATTATTAATATAATATTTTGTTATCACTTGTGTGGATATTATTTCTGTTTGTATATATGGTTACTCTTTTCAGAACTTTTGATACGTATTAGCCATACTGATACACTAGGCAGCTTTACGTGTATAAGTATTCATTTATTTATTTAGTTTTTTTGTATTTATTACCAACTCTATAAAGGACATTATTTCGAATCAGGGATCTTTACTATATCTAGTCCATAGGGATGGGTTTTTTTCCGCAATTTTTGATTTTTTGAGACCTCTAATAAAAGTTAAGTTTTATATCTGAATTACTTCGCTTTTGAAAAAGGGTTCGTATTAGCTTTGTGTCCGTCCGTCCGTCCGTCCCCCCCACCCTTTTTTTTGCTTAGGTGTTGCTCATTAGTATTAGTATTCGTGGGGTTACCCCCCAATTCTCTGCAAAGTAACCTGACACTCTCTACCTTAGATGTTCTTTGTTCATATGTATTTTCAGAGGAAAGAGAATGTTCATAAATTACCTGAGGGGAACACTCCTCCCATTTCAGCTCTGATGGCCCCAGGGAACCCCAAAGCTCTGCAGACCACAAATGCCTCTTTAATGTCCCATCCATCATCGCAGATCGTTCCCCACTGTCCATCATGGTACACCTCCACTCTGCCCTGGGCTGTACCGTTCCCTCCAGCCAACCTCACAGCTCCTTCGGTAAATGCTTGAAAGGAAATACAGTATTGTACTTTATGTATTGTGTGTAAAAATGGGAAAAGGGGTCTGAAGTAATAAAAATGTTAATAATTATTAATCAGTTACTGATTTGTTGAAGCCAAAAGGCCAAATTAATGCAGTAGGAAATGAGCCAGATAGCGGGGTAAAAAGTATTTTTGGTGTAGACAACTATCTGCCAGGAGCTACATTTTAGTTACTGTTGTCCATAATGTTTTTTTTTAATGTTATTTCAAAAAATTCCTATTTCCAATGACAATTTCTTGACAAACTAGGATTAACACTGGAGACTGGAGTCGGCATATTTCTTTTTTTAACACATTTTATGGACTATACTTTTACAGTATATAAGCAAAAAACAGTCAATTCAAAATAAATACATAATTAACAAGAACTTTTGAAATATCCAGTCAGCTTTGTTGCTCACTTAAAGGGACACTTTATCCCCCAATTCTTCTCCTGGGATTTGTGTTTGAATGAAGGTGGTTGAAGACAAGCGCTTTGCATTGTTATGTGTTTCAGCAATTGGCTAATTGTAATAACTAAATCAATCAACCCCCAAGCATTACAGAGGGCAAACGGTGGGTGTTTAGTTCTTCTTCTTATTATTGGTATTTATAGATTCCGCAGCCTTTTACAATATTCTGAAAAGGGGGGAATTTACAATAAATTAGACAATTACACAGTTACACAGGAACAATAGATAGATGAGGGCCCTGCTCAAACAAGCTTACAGTCTAGATTGACAGCCTGAGGATCATGTGAATTGTAGTTCTCTAAAGCTGAACTGCCAAGGGTTAACCTTGCCCCTGATCCAATGTATTAACCTAATTATTATGAAATTCCACTTACCTGAAACCACTTTACATGTCAGAAAGGGTAAAACCAGAACGATCCATTGAAGAGGACGCATTTCTTGGAGGATTCTTGGGGGAGCAGAACCCAGACAGACGCAGATTATACGGGGGTTTAGGAATGGGTTCCAGAACCAAAACGTGCAGCAGTTACAAAGTATCTACAATGAATCTCTGTAACATCTGCATCCAGAGAGCAGGCTATTTAAAGTGAAGGATTATAACGTATTATCCAATCCGATACCAGCCTAATTCTCAGTTCCTCCCATCACTGGATGTTTGGTTTCATTTCCTGCGAGTGATGAAAATGCATTATATGCATCAGCGAAGATGCGGTTCTACGTTTATCTAAACAGAAACCTTGGTTTTACCAGGATGTCATGGTTACAGTGCCCAACTTATTCAAAGGAAGCGTGTTGGAATTTCATTGAGATTCCAGCCCAGTCAAAAGATATACTGAAACATGTATACTGAGTATGGACTACGTTGCCTTAGTATTTTTTTTAATCCTGCGGATTCTTGGGGTTCTCCATAGACCTCAGTGTTGACGTCGGCTGACATTGGCTCCTGGTGGATGATGGGCCAGGAGCTGAAGAGGATCATCAGGAAGAAGATGGTGGCAGCAGTGATGGACAGGCTTCAAGTAAGTATAACACACCTTTCCCGGCACCCTTCCTTCAACCACCGGCCTACCAGTAGACCAGTTACCATCAGACGGAGACAGAACCGCTTTAATGTTGGCTTCCAGAACTTTTTTTTTAAATAAGCAATGCTCACCAATACTGAATGAGGGTACCTTTTTAAATAAAGAATGCACAGCTGTACTGGATGACAATACCATTTAAAACCATGGAATGGAATTTAAAAAAATTGTAGGGCTATCCGTATATTGAACTATCTGGATTTCAAAATTCTAGGCAAAAATTGTCAAATTAGAAACATGGCTGATTTGGATGACTTTCCTAATTTGGCTCATTTTGGGGTGAAATTCTCCTTGAATTCACACTTTAATGACTAACCCTGTTAGTAAAAGTGAACACCAAACTATTTAATACTTTATAAAAAAAACTAGGAGTAATATTCAAATGTGTTTATCATTAATACTACAGTATCTCCCAAAAGTGAGAACACCCCTCACATATTTGTAAATATTTTATATCTTTTCATGTGACAACACTAAAGCAATGACATTCTGCTACAATGTAAAGTAGTAAGTGTACAGCCTGTATAACAGTGTCAATTTGTTGTCCCCTCAAAATAACTCAACACACAGCCATTAATGTATAAACTGTTGGCAACAAAAGTGAAAATGTCCAAATTTGGCCAAAGTGTCAATATTTTGTGTGGCCACCATTATTTTCCAGCACTGCTTTAACCCTCATGGGCATGGAGTTCACCAGAGCTTCACAGGTTGCCACTGGAGTCCTCTTCCACTTCTCCATGACAACATCACAGAGCTGGTAGATGTTAGAGACCTTGCGCTCCCCCACCTTTCTTTTTTGCTCAATAGGGTTTGGAGACATGCTTGGTGAGTCCATAACCTTTACCTTCAGCTTCTTTAGCAAGGCAGTGGTCATTTTGGAGGTGTGTTTGGGGTTGTTATCATGTTGGAATACTGCCCTGAGGCCCAGTCTCTGAAGGGAGGGGATCATGCTCTGCTTCAGTATGTCACAGTACATGTTGGCATTCATGGTTCCCTCAATGAACTGTAGCTCCCCAGTGCCGGCAGCACTCATGCAGGCACAGACCATGACACTCCCACCACCGTGCTTGTCTGTAGGCAAGACACACTTGTCTTTGTACTCCTCACCTGGTTGCCGCCACACAAGCTTGACCCTGAACCAAATAAGTTTATCTTGGTCTCATCAGACCACAGGACATGGTTCAATCAATCCATGGCCTAAGTCTGCTTGTCTTCAGCAAACTGTTTACGGGCTTTCTTGTGCATCATCTTTAGAAGAGGCTTCTTCCATTTTCTTTAAGCAATACAAACGATGCATGGTTTTTTTCCAGCAATAAGTGGCAGAATCTTTCCTGCTACTATAAATTTTGTGCAAAAATATTAAGGTATCCGCACACTCCTGATCACCAAGGTGCACCGGGCCTGAGGTAGGCCAGACCTCACCTTACAGTTCTGAGCAAAAAATGATGGTTCAGGCCGTCAATGTGAAAACAAATTAAGCAGGTTCATTGGAGGAGAAACAAAAAGTAACGTTTCGACCCAAGCTAGAAAAAGACCCAGCTGAGTCGAAACATTGCTTTTTCTGTCTGCTCCAATGAACCTGCTTAATTTGTTTTCACATTGAGGGCCTGAACCATCATTTCTTACTCAGAACAATACATTTTGTGGTCTTCCAAAATTTAAAATTTGGCAGAAACTGGCCAAATTTGCTATAAAGAAAAATGGTACTTTTTATATGACTTTAGCAAATATCAAGTCAAAACAATTCTTTCTAAAACACTTTGATAAATATCCCCCTGCGTTCCTCTCACATTTTCTGTTTTCTTAGAATCCAGTTGGCTTGCATTGATGATATTGGAGTCTAATGTCAAAGTATTATTTTTATTATTTATTTATAGCGCCAACGTATTCTGGAGCACAGTACAATAGAGGGAATACAGACAACGTGTTGGTATCAGAACACCTTCGTATACAAATGAAACAAAAGACCGTTGATACTGATTGAAGGGTACAGTAACTGCCCACAAATATGCTGCAAAATATTTTAATTGCTGGGGAAATCGAAACATACAGACAGATGTTCATGAGCACCAGTCTTCCCTATTCTGAAACATTAGGTTTTGTTTCTTGAATTTTCACTAATCTTAGTTAACGAAACTCAAAAGACATCTTTAAGAATAGTGTATAGAATTGTGCTGAATTATGCATTATTTTTTTTTTTTTTTAAAACCACAAGTGTCTCAATGTGTCTGAAACGATTGCACCACTCTTCACAATTTGCTGCTAACAGCAGAAATCGTAGAATGACAAACAGTCGCTTGTCTAGATGTTTTTTGGACACTAAAGAACTAAAACAGGCCACATATTAGTAATATGGAGCGTATGGTAAAAAATCAACTGATCTAATGGGGTGGGGGGTGAAAACCTAGTTTGATAATATTTCCTTTTTTTTGGCACAAAATTTAAAAAAAATGTATAGTTGTGTAATCTGCTTATATGTCTTGTTTATTGTCTGAAAAAAAACAAGTTCAGATTTTCTCGTTTTCCCCTGATTACTAAAATCTCCCTCAATTAGTCGTCATCTGTGTGGCGGAACCAACCTCGCCACTATGCACTGGAGAAGCCTGGTTGCCAGCCTCCTGCCATGTGACTATGGCCCCTGGGATGTATTGCCCTTTAAAGACATGATTTGGGCATAATGGATTTGTGTTGTGCTGCTGCTGGCCCTTTTAAGAACCATCTGGGGACATACTGTGGAGTTACTGGGTGGCCACCATTTCCTGTATCAGAAGCACATGGTGAGAACAATGGATGGCGGCCATTTTAACTCACAGACACTGTGTGGACTTTTCAACACGGTGCCATCTCGCCAGTATTTGGTGCACAGAGACATCGTGCAGTGGTTTTGGACTATACAGCAGGGGACACATTATAAAGTGATTGTTTTTCATTTAGCCTGTATATGTTCTGCAGAATCTGCATTAAACTGTATTTTCCAAAGTACAGAACGGATCTGGGTGAATTTTGGATATGTGGTTCACCCAGATCCCCCGGTTCCAAGGATATACTTTTTATGGGGTTATTGCATGTTTTGGGGTCCCTGTGTGTTTTATGAAACTGTATTATTTCTGGCCAGCTTTGAGCTTTGTGTATTGTAGAAACTCAGTTATCTAGCCTGGCCCAGAGGAGGAGTTTTGTGTTGCATAAATTGTGAGTTCTGTGTGCCAGTAAATCAGTCTTGTTCCAGCATTAAGCCTTGGCTCATGTTTGGGGGAAGGGATACCTACACTCTGGGGATTGCTATAATCACTTACTCCCCAGAGGAAGCTCTTGCAATAGCTTGATTTGTTCCTGTTCCTGCTCTCTGGGGAAAGAGAGGTTCACCCACTGGAAGCTGGATCCTGGCCTTGGGTCCAGGGTGGATGGAAACAGCAGAGACCCCGGCGCAGTTGCATCGCTGGAAGTGGGGTCTGCAGTGCTGATGGTGTCGGTTGGAGTGCTTGGAGTCCTCAGCGAGCACTAGGAGCATCGATTGGCGGAGGTACTCAGTCGGAGTGCCAGCGTTCCGTCACATTTGGTGGCAGCGGTGGGATGGCGTCCTAGTGCGAGGACCAGCAGCTCGGAGACACCGGTAACGTGTGGAGTTACGGATTTATAATTGAGGGCAACGCTAGCCTCTGCGCAGCGTCCCTACCTACAGCAACATGGAGCTAGCAAGACCCTGGACAGCAGCCAGTGAATTGCAAATCCGCCTGTCACAGTGCTATGAGGGTGCTGATTTCATGAAGGAAGTAAAGGCGCGGCTGGTCTGGTTTGGCCCAAACCCTTCAGATGAGGTGGTCCATCAAGTGATGTGCATGTGGAGTGCTGAGAACAAAGATGCACGGAACTTCGAGTACCAACTGTGGAGTTTGGGGGTATTGACACCCCGTCTCCAGCGACAGAGTGAGTTACAGGGAGAGGAGAGCAGTGACCTCCCATCCCAGCGGCAGTGCACCGTACAGAGGGAAGAGACAACCGGTCTCTCTCCCCAGCGGCGGCCTGAGTTCCAGGAGGAGGTGATGGTAGATCCCTCCCCCGTACAGCAACCAGCGTCCTGGGGAGGGGAGGCAACCGGCCTCCCTCTCCAACAGCAACCGGAGGTGGGCGACCTCATAGACTTGTCCTGGGTAAACACAGAGATGGCAAGCGGAGATGGGACCGAAGTCTCTCTGCCGGCCCTACAGGGATGCTGGGCAGTCAGCCTAGGTCCCCAGCGGCAGTATAATATACAGGGAGAGGAGACAACTGGTCTCTCTCCCCAGCGGCGGCCCGAGTTCCAGGAGGAGGTGATGGTCAATCCCTCCACCTTACAGCAACCAGCGTCCTGGGGAGTGGGGGCAATCAGCCTCCCCCTCCAACAGCAGCCAGAGATACCGTGAGAGGGGGAAGACAAACCTAACCACACTGGCGCAGATGGGACCGCGGTCTCTGTGCCAGTCCTACAGGGAGGCTGGACGGGCGGTCCAGATCCCCAACCAACCCCGCAGGGATGCCAGGAGGAGGAGGTAAGCGAAACTTCCCCTCCCCAGCTACATCCCAACCGGGTCCTGGGGGCAGTGGATGAGCCTGCGATACCCACTGACCCCCTCCCAGCAGAAGAGCTGGCATCTGGGAAGAGCTTTGTTAGCCTCTGCTATACAGCAGGGGACACATTAGAAAGTGATTGTTTTTCATTTAGCCTTTTATTGCATGTTTTGGGGTCCCTGTGTGTTTTATGAAACTGTATTATTTCTGGCCAGCAGATAATTGAGCTTTGTGTATTGTAGAAATACAGACACTGTTTGGACTTTTCAACACGGTGCCATCTCGCCAGTATTTGGTGCACAGAGACATCGTGCAGTGGTTTTGGACTATACAGCAGGGGACACATTAGAAAGTGATTGTTTTTCATTTAGCCTGTATATGTTCTGCAGAATCTGCATTAAACTGTATTTTCCAAAGTACTGAACGGATCTGGGTGAATTTTGGATATGTGGTTCACCCAGATCCCACGGTTCCTTTTTATGGGGTTATTGCATGTTTTGGGGTCCCTGTGTGTTTTATGAAACTGTATTATTTCTGGCCAGCAGATAATTGAGCTTTGTGTATTGTAGAAACTCAATTATCTAGCCTGGCCCAGAGGAGGAGTTTTGTGTTGCATAAATTGTGAGTTCTGTGTGCCAGTAAATCAGTCTTGTTCCAGCATTAAGCCTTGGCTCATGTTTGGGGGAAGGGATACCTACACTCTGGGGATTGCTATAATCACTTACTCCCCAGAGGAAGCTCTTGCAATAGCTTGATTTGTTCCTGTTCCTGCTCTCTGGGGAAAGAGAGGTTCACCCACTGGAAGCTGGATCCTGGCCTTGGGTCCAGGGTGGGTGGAAACAGCAGAGACCCCGGCGCAGTTGCATCGCTGGAAGTGGGGTCTGCAGTGCTGATGGTGTCGGTTGGAGTGCTTGGAGTCCTCAGCGAGCACTAGGAGCATCGATTGGCGGAGGTACTCAGTCGGAGTGCCAGCGGTCCGTCACAATCTGCACTGGTTCTTGTTCGATAACATGACACATAAAGTGACATAACCGTATTGTAAAACGAACAGGCTGCTTGCAGAATCTCTAGTTTGTTACAGGAAGTTCAAAGGGATAATCAACAATAAAAATAAGGCCAAATGGTTCAGGAGAGAGAAAAATAGCTGCATCCTTATGCTGATAAAATTTAAATATATATGACATGTAAACATTAAAGGGTAGACGAGATGCCATTATCAACCACCCAGAATTTTGGACCACCCTTCTCAGTGGCTAGGTGTCCCCAAGCCATTAGCCACTTAACCCCCCTCTGTTACCCCCCAATAAAATTGTCCACCATACCACCTTACTCTTATAATGGTCTGGGGAAAAAAAAGTCTAACTCTTACCTTTCTTACCTTCAGAAGACTTATATTAAAATAATATACTTTTGTTACCAGAAGGCCTTTCAGACACACTTGACCGTCATCTTCCAAAGTACGGCACAGTAAGCTTAGAATTGCACCTTATTTATGAATATGCACTGTGTGCACTGCATCATGGGGGCAGTTTACATGGTGAGATCCGCATATCATACAAATGAAACAGGATAAAACGTTATCAGTTTGTTTTATTTTTAAATAAAACTTATAACTCTTAGTTGTTTGGCCATAGGGTTTCTATAAGCGCCATGGAACCAACATTTCTTCTTCAACCATTATCCCGAATTAGTGTACATGTACCCAGTATGCATTGTATCATGGGGGTAGCTTTTTTTTTTTTGTCATCATTTTTTTTAATTTTTTTTATTATTACTGAAAATAAAGGATGATATGTAATACAAACCTGTTTTGTATTATTTTGTAATGAACTGAAATCAGTTAATGAGTTTTTTCAGTGAAAGTCCTGGGTAGGTTTGCCCAATGGGGGCAGCCATCTTTTACCCACTTTGGTCAGAAGCACCACTTATCTGCTCAATTTGATCATCTAAAATTGAGACGCCCTGTGCTTGCTCACGATGATTTGTGATCACATTCTAGCTTTTGATTAGCCGAATGGTTTGGAGTCAGTAAAGTTGTGTTCCCGACAAAAGACCACCCAATAATAGTCCTTGGAGCAAGGATAAGCCAAGAGATACACTGAAGAGGACCATTTAAACATATGCATGCATTACAAAATAGAAAACGCAAAGGCTGTAATATATGTAATATCTTTTATTTTAAATAATGACAGAATTATGACAGTTTTACAGTAAATTCAAAATTCTGCATTTTCAGAGAATCCTTGTGTGATTGTTTTTATTAACAATTGTCCATGAAGTCAAGCGACTACTTAAGGACTTTCTTAAATTGTTTATATTTATTATATGGTTTGTTGAAAATGATAGCGTCTGACCAGGCATCCGTCAAACTGACATGTTATGTCTGGTTAGATGAAGGTGCGCTTGACATTAGCTGGATATATTTTTACATTTTAAAAATGTACCAGTTTTAACATACTACAATGCCTGATGGAGCAAAATGGCAGCTTAACAAGATTCACAGCGCAATCCGTCGCGATACAGTATGGTGCGTTTATATTGTTGCGCAAACCCAGTCACTGCTGCTTCCTCTGCCATCAGTGATGCGCATTGCTCCCAATTCTCCTCCCTGTAGATTCTATCAATACATGATACCATACTGGAAACCCTCAGCCTCCGATAATGCCAAAAGAATGGATCGAAGAAAGGCAGTTTCATCTGTTTGCTCTTAGAAAGTGAATGCAGTATTTTATACAGTACTCCTGGGTGCATTAAATGGCCAGATGTGATCACGCCAGCTTCCCTGAAACAAATCAAACCTTGAAAGCTTTCTGCCCTGACCTGTTATCAGAGACAGAACTGTGTGCCACATTGCTGGCACTCCTTATCACACACTGCTCTGTTTTATTAGATAAATATAACATTATTATTCATTTATTACATCACACACAAGGAGCATAGAAGAGAGATACACGACTAGATTGCAGAGATTAAGTGGAATAATAGGGATGTTGTATAGTCATTTAACACTCTTTGGGGAGCATGCCCAATTACAAAGTATCCCAGTGTTTTCTGCGTTGGGTTTGGGTGAGCATCATGGGAGAGTAGGTTTAACGGTAAGGTGACCTTACGTGGCTGCCTGTGACCATCAATCTGCTTGGCTGTATTCCCCATCTCTATGTGAAGTTTGAAGGAGCCCCAAGCCTTGAACCCTGTCAGATCTTAATCCTTCTCTGCATCACGGAGCCAAATGGAGCTGAGGTCACGCAACTCTAGTATAGCTAGGCCCTGTATATGGCTTGCATGAAGCCACCAGAGATTCAAATTATTTAGGGCTCTGCTTGGTTTAATACAGATACAGTAGTTGTGTGCTAAATGTTGGAGAATGAAAAAGGACCAGACGTCAGCAGATTTTAATCAAATAGATATTTTAATACAAATTTTCAATGCTTACAAAACACAGGTGGGTTAAATGTAGCAACACATAGACTCAAAAATCCATATTAACGTAACGAGTAGCAAGTTATTCATTAAGCCAGCCGTAAGTTACTGGGAATTCACCAGGGACTGTCACACCAAAAATTCTCCAAGTTGGACATCGGACATTTTTCTTCTGGCTTAAAAATCATATAGATATATATATTTTTTTTAAAATACCAAGTTATATCATGCTTCCTTTACACTGAATGAAAGAAGGAAACTCATACAAGACCAGTGTGTATTAACCATAGTTAACCAAAATGTAAATCCTTAATGCTCCTCAAAGCATCATGGGAGCTGTACATGTTTTTCACCCCTACTTTGAACTAATGCTGCTTTGATACCAGTGACGATGACTCTACTTTTCAAAGAAGACAATAATAAGTCGAGGTAGACACTCAACATTCTATGAATTACTTTAGTTGAGTTTGTAAATGGGACGGATAACCGCAGAGTATGTGTTTGATCCCGAGGTACATGGGAAATTGGTGCCATTACTAGTTGCTGGGTCTGATGCCATGTCATTCTTAAATACTTCCATTCCCGTGACTGTGGTTCCACCACATTTCACTAGCAGTACATTCTGATAGACAATGTACGGGTAAATATTACCCGTAGTGACTCTGAATAAAGGTAGCGAATCAGACGTACAAGGAATTCCATAATTATAGCACGTCTGTATGTTTGATGCATAAACAACATTCCACTGGGTCAACTGGGATGTAAGTAGGGCACTGAAATGTCTTGGGGTATTGAAATATTGATTATTGTAACCATAATATTGATTTGCATAAATAGTTGAGCTCCATGTAGTAGATGTATAGATTCTGGGTATGTAGACATCTTTAGAAAGGTCCACATAGCTGTTTAGGACCTGGTAGGACACAGCGTGGAACATTAAAGCCTGAATGATCTTGTCTTGGAAAATTATTTTATTCTTTTCATACATGGAAATGTTCACCTGAACTTGGAGAAGCTCTTCTGGAGACATCATGGGGAACCTTACTGTCTCAACCAGCTCTTTCAAGAGATCTCCCTCCACTTGATTGGTAGTTACCCAATTCTCCACAGTTTCAAGTACTGCCCACTCATTCTTAATAATCAAATCTGACCTGGAGAGAAGAGACTGGAACTGACTAAATACTAGATTATTCCATGCCTTAGACTGAGAAAAGGACTCGAAATTCCAAGCAAAGTATCGTAGACACAAGTCCCTCAGTTTGGCATCAGAGTTGGACTCTGCATAGTTAAGGAGTTCAAGCTGCTTTTTGAAAGATGGATCTTCTGACATCAAGATGGAGAAGAACTGGGCAGTGTACTCCTTCAGACTGTTAACCTTGTAGGTCGAAGCCATCTGGTGGATACACTTTAAGGAGGACAATGCCACCTTGATTTTCTGAGTGTAGAAGTATCTAATGACAAAGAAAAAGCCAAACACAGCCATGATTGCCAAAGTGTTCTTTCACTGAGTCTCAGTGGGTAAAAACCTGTATCTGAGCTCATTCATACACACATCCAAGAATCCACACTTAGTGTGTTTTTTGTACCAATGTCCCAAAATGTAATCCACACAAATGGAAAATCGTGGAAATGCTTGCAGGAGGGGGAATCATTATGCACATAGATGGACCTGCCTGTTAATCCCTTCTTTCTGGTATTATATATAAACACATACTTACATACTCACAAATCAATATATACATATACTTACATTTCTGCCCTGGGGCCCAAAAACAAAAGAAGCTAACTCGGCCCGTTACCAAACGTTACCAAACGTGATAAACCGTTTGGCTGCGTATGGGACCATTCGAACTGCAAAAATTCAGACATTGTTCATGCTATTTAACATGTAAGGATATTGTGATTTAAAAAAAAGTATTTGCCAGCAGGTTGATAGTTAAATAACCCTCGGCACTGTGAGGGTTAATCACACGGGGATGGCCAGTGCTTGCTAGTCAGCTGTCACATGAAAAAAGTAAAAGAAAAAAATATGGGGGGTCATTAAGTAGCCTCTGGTCACTGGTAGGGGTAGGGGAGTGGACAGTGTTCTGTCCACCCACCATTATTTCATTTAAAGTTTAAACACTATTCCTACAGGGAAGATGTGGCCATGTAACACCCCTGTTATTTACCTTTCAAGCAGATAGCCTGCAATCACTGCCCAGTTGCTAGTACCGGTATTAAATATTTAGAAGATATGTCCAGTGGCAAAACTACTGCCAGGCGGTGCCGGGGCACGCACACTGTGGGTGCATCGATTGGGTGGCCCATGCACTTCGAGCCACCCAATGGGTATTTATGAACAGGGGCTTGGGCACAGTGGCCTTTTAACAGAGCCTGTGTCAGATAACTAATTCTGGGGGAAAGGAATGCCCGTTAAAAAAAAGCGGGGTGACTGAAAAGACACATTTAGTAGAATGTAGCAAAAGAGTGCAAATAGTAGAAAAATATTTCATTCAAAACTTTAACTTTACATTTTTCTACTATCTTCAGTTTTTTGTCACATTCTACAGAGTGTTTTTTCTTTCGTTGGGTGGTAAACCGATTTATTTCCATTAGTTTGACAGAAATTCTATTCTATTCCTCACCTGATAAATATCTTCGCTTGTGGAATACATTCGTCCTGTATGGTGAGTGTGAATTTGTTGCCCTCTCCTCCCAAAAGGAAGATTGCCTCTGGGTTTAGTGACAGAATGAGTCTATGAGCGCAGATCTCCTTGGAGGCCACAAGTCCATCTTTTCCCACCACCGTGATAAAGTGATCACAGTTCTTCTGGCTCTCAAAAAGAACTCTCAGGGTATCGCCGATTCCACAGGAGTTATCCAGGGTGTAAGCCGTAAAATTTCCTTCTGTAAGAGATTGGTTGATGATTATTAGGAAATCTTACAGCAACAAACACAAATACATTGATCTGTCCAAAAGGTTTTATTTTACAGAACATTTGCACATCCAGGATATTGTAATCCACTGGGCTACTCTAGCAGGGAGTAAGGAAGTATAATGTTTTTTTTTTTAATTCTTTATTTTTCTTGTGCATATGATGACAACAAGCATGTAGAGCCACATCAGCATCTACGAGCATTTTTCAAGACATTTCAAAAGTGTGGCAGTTTGATCGGCACATTTTTGTACAATCATGAAAATAACAGGCTAATAAACATTGCTTATATAATATAACATGCTAAAGTTAAACGTAAGTTTGATAAACCGCTTTGTCTGCTTGGTATGATTCAGACAGGTCTATACAAATCGAGTACACGTTAAATGTTAAACAGGCTTATACTGGTCTGTATATTAATCCATTGGGTGAGCATTTGGTTGTCTAGGTATGAGTTATCTCGCTGGAGACGCAGTGTGTTCGTTCAGGAATGGATTTTGAAACAGGTTAGACACCGCGAGTTAGGCAGTGTGATAATGCATGGTTTTGCACAGTTTGTACAGCACATTGGGAATGCCATGATGTGATACGTGATGCATGCTGTGTGTACTGATGAGCAGTGTAGTAGTACCTGTGGTGACATTGGTGGAAGGGTGAGATGTCAGGCATATTATGCACTATATAGAGGCATGGAATACGTGTCAAAACGACCTAGGGGCATTTTAAATCAGGCTGCATTTGTCTGGCAGGCAGGCAGGCTATGCTACATGGTCTGGCCTTCCAGGGTTAAAGGGTGGAGCCTTATCGTAGGTTAACATGGGTTAAGCATATTGGCAGATATGACAAGCAGACGATTTAATATACCAATATGATATTGGTATTGCAGTCGAAATATACAGATCTCGGACAGTGTAATGTAAAGGAACTTTTCTGAAAAAATTTGCCCTTGAATGTCAGTAGGACACCGTATGGTGTTGTTACCGCTAGTGCCATTTACAGGCTGGGAGGGCCTCTGTAGGGTGCTTATCCGATGCCCTGCAACGGGAGACTGCAGAGATATATGAGTGTAAGTGTCTAGTTAGCAGTATGTGGGGGGCCCACCAGGCCAGCGTTCTCTGTGTCAGGTCCGCAGTTCCGTAGTAGCGGGGGTCAGCTAGTGGGTCACGGACAATTACTGCTCCAGGTGGTGTCTGCCGGTTTTTCTGTGGTGTTGTCAGTGTCCAGCCTGAGGGGGAGCCCTGTGCCTTTCGTGGCCGCCTGGTTCGTCCCAAGCGGTAGCTGGATGTAGGGGGTTTTTGCAACTGTGACCCTGTGCTGGTTCCTCTGGGTTGCTTCTGTGTCGTCGCTTTACGTCTGAGTGGGGAGCGCCGCTGTCGGTGCTGTAAGCTTGGAAGGTGGTCTCTGCGGTAAGTAGTGGGTGTTCGCTGGTGGGAAGGTAGGACAGCTCGTCCGCCATGTTGGAATTGCTGCGGTTCTGCAGGCCTGTGCTTGCAGTTTGACCCCTTGGTCGTGCATGAGCTAGCTCTCCAGGTGGGGCCCAGTGTATAGTGTCTGACCAGGCAGGCTTGTGTGCTTTTCGTGGTGCTGAATCTCATGTGTCTGCCATATTGGGGGCCCCCACACCCGCCTTGCTTGGTGAGGTCGCGGGCGTAGTCGGAGGGTGCTGGGCGCGAGGTCCTCCATCGGGCGGGGAGGGAGTGTTCCAGCCTCGTGTATGGCTGTGCGCTGCTGGCGGGAAAGCAGCCACCTTTCTCCGCCGCCTCCTGCAGTAGGCCCCATGCTGCTGTTGCAGTGCCCGGTTACCCCGGGTGGCAAGTTCGGTATTGCTGGGTTTGGGCTGATCTTCCCTGTCCAGTGGGCCTGTTTGCCGGAGGTTAGAGGCACTTCAGCCCGATTTAGTTGCAGTTTTTGTGCCCGCTGAGCAGGAGCTCTTGCAGAGCACGTCTTCCCTGTTTGCTGGTTCGGCTCCGCCCCCCGTATAATGTTTTAGGACAGATATATTATACCTGCATTTCGTTTTTTTTCTCAGGTGTGAAATAGACTTGGATCGTATTGTGTGTTGTAGCAAATACCCATCAATCCATTCATTGTGGTAACAGTAAGCCTTGACTCTTAGAGTCTGTTATTACATCTTGGATGCAGAGTGCTACACATCAAAACTACCACTACTCTCAGCCAGGTGGAGGATCTTCATGTAAGACATTGTTGTAATGATGGCACTTGACCAAATACTCACTCCCTCATGAAACTTTCACATCTACTTGCTGTGTTTGTGGATGGCTATGGTTTATAAAAGAGGAATATCTGAATATTCCTTTATGTCCCCAGGTGGTGTTACGCAGGTTTGGTCTTGTCTTTACAGACATTCCTCCACATTAGTTGATCTTACTGAAAAAAAAGCTTTTTTTTGTTGACGTTACATTTTCATTAACATTGGAGACAATTTGACAACGGAATTCAGGTGTTACATTTGGAGAGTTCTTGCAGATTCAGCACAGATGTATCTAACTAGTTAAAGTCTTCAGCGTCCCCAGGATTAAATAACTATGGTAAACTTACAAACAACTTATCGTATACGCCTTGGTTTGAAAAAAACGTTTTTATCATTAGTTGCTACTCCACGAGATGTGAGATCTCCAGTGGAAGAAGAAAGGTTCCGTTTCTACAACAGTTCTGAACAAAAATCAGGTAGAACCTGCACTACGCTTTGTGTGTCAAACAAACAAGGTGTGAAAGAATAGGCAAAGGAGGATTTGGGAACTCACCCTCTTCTTCCGGAGAACAAACCACACCAGCATCTTCACTGTGCTTACAGTCACTTAAACCCCACGCTTTGAAAGCACAGTCGGCCAATGATGTCTCGTTTCCAGTGCAAGCCAACTCATCGAGCATGATGGTACCCGATCCTGTGGGTAAAGCAAAGAGCGTTGGACATACCAACTCAACCTCAGCTTGGAAGAAAGGAAAGAGACTGTCCATAAATTACCTGGGGGGAACACTCCTCCCATTTCAGCTCTGATGGCCCCAGAGAACCCCAAAGCTCTGCAGACCACGGACGCATCCTTCATGTCCCATTCATCATCGCAGATCGTTCCCCACTGTCCATCATGGTAAACCTCCACTCTGCCCTGGGCTGTACCGTTCCCTCCAGCCAACCTCACAGCTCCTTCGGAAAACGCTTAAAAATCATAAACAAAAAGTATGAGATTGTTTCAGTAATATATAATATAACGAAAACAGATTCTGGAGGGTTAATGTGAAGTGGAACCTTTCAAAATCTTAACATTAATTTTAACACAGCGTAAAAATTAGCCTGTACTTTCTGTTAGCTTTTTACATTTCTCAGACTTTCAAGAAACTCAACTCTTTGTATTTCCAGATTTTGCACTGATATTAAAGGACCCATTCCATGAGGGGACAGTTTGAAAAATGATGCCATCATGACTATTAAAGTCCAAACTTACTCCTATCAAACGGGGCAAAACCATTCAGTGCTGTATGGGGCCATTCAGACTGCAAAATCTAGACATTGTTCACAGTATTTTAACAATGTCCGCATTTCGCAAAACAGGCTTTGAACAAGCCTGAAGTTGGGCTGGGTTTCAATTGAACCAAATACTGCCAGACAGCTAGAATTCAGACCAGGATTGTTAAAATCAAAAATATTTGTCTAACAACCAGCAGGTAAATGGCTAAAAAAACTAAACACGACTGTGCAAGGGTTAAGTTTGGTAGTAGCCCCCCATATTAGTATTAGGGAGGTTCAATACATTCCAGCATGTCCGGAGGGGAGTGGGGGGCATATCTACTAAAGTGTGAGCAGTCAGGTATAAGACAGACCCCATCCTCTGGGGATGGGACCAATCAACCACCAGGCTAGACGATGAGCATCGAGTGAGGGGTGAAATACAATAAAGAGAAATGGACAGGTCCATCCCCTGCCCCCTCCCATGGCCAGTGGGTGGAGGACATGTAATAAAACATGATGGGATGTCCTATTGACCCCCACAGAACAGAAGGTGGAGGCTCTAAAATATAAACCGAGAGGGAGCATCACATTGTCCCATTCCCACCCACGGGCCATGGGTGGTGTCTATTAAATAGAAGCCGGGGGAGATACCTGTGTCACCCCCACACACGGACGAGGGTTGGTAATTACTGAATAATAAAGGGTGGGATGGACATCCTATAGTCACCTCAAATCCCCCACCTATAGGCTTTGGGTGGGTGGTTATTAGCGCAAGAAAAGTGGTGCAAATACTTTGAGGGCATAACATTTTTTTTATTTTTTACTTTTTAATGTGGCCGCTGGCTAGTAAGTGCTGGCCACCTACTACACAGGATTTCCCTTGCACCACCTAGGGTTATTTAACTCTACTACAAACAGCACTGATACGTTATTTGCTTGTTAAAAGCAAATGCATGATAAATTGCAAATGTGTATTCAACCATTTTACATTCAGTCTTGGTGCTTTGTAAATATCTCCGATATTATTACAGTTTTATTGGGTTATGGGCAAAATGTACCTTTTTTAAGCTAAACTGAGAAGGCATCCGGCCGAATTTGGTCGCAGATGCGTTGAAGGAATTCCAATTAGAATTTATTTTAGTAAATAGGAGAAAGTACCATTGCAGTCAGATTTTAACCAGTTTCACCAAATGTTGTTGTTTTTTCACCAAAAGTTGGACACATTTTGCGAATAACATGTATTTTTATCTAAAGTGTGAGAAAAGATCTGCAGCCATCCTGGTTTTTAGATTGATTGATTTATATGTTTGTTTCCATCTGTTTTTACAATATGTGCCTTTTAGCTCAATCCCTCCCCTGTCTCTCACTCCAGAGCAAAAGATAGAAACATACAGGAGAGCTAAGATTAGCCAAGGGATCTCAGCCGGTTCCTGGTGGAGTATGCCATCGCTGCAGAGGAATCCAGGGATTTTTTCCAAAAGTGGAATATTCAAAAATTAGTATTTACACAATATTGGTGGAAAGCATAAAATAAATATTTTAGAATATATACAAAGTATATAAAATGAATTATATCCTTTGGATTCTCACACGTGGTGAGTTAGAGAGAACTCCCTAATGTACAAACACGTGAATCAGGGGGCGGCCCGCCTGAGGATGGGTTCTGTTTCAATAACTGGATATATATTTGGGAGTTGACATTAAGGTGCAGGGTTGTGTTGTTTAACCAGTTTGTATTTTTTCTCTATATTTTAATTAATAATAATGTCTCCACACTCCCTCCTTTCTATGACCTACTAGTTAAAGAATTTAGAGGGTTTCTTTGGCTGCAGTAAACCCAATTTGACAGTAAATGTATGTTTTTAACTTTTAATTAATAATCAATAGTGGTTACATTTTGCATTTATGATAATTCATTCAATATTCCTCTTATTCATTTTCAAACCTGAACCATTCTATTACCGCTCTAAATTCAGCCCAAAAAGTTGACACTTTACGATAATTAAACCGTCAGAGGTAAGATTTGGGGGGAGGTGGGGGAGGATCCCTATGTCTCTGGCCCCCATTTATTCCAAATTACAGCAATGTAGTGAGGTCAAGTGGGGGTGTGAGGGCAAACTTTGATAGCCACTTAGCCAGTGCCCCAGTCTTGTATTTTTATTCCCAACTCTTTTCCATTTATTTTTTTAATTAGTTTTTTTATTCTATGTATTGGGGTTGATGAGCACTATAGTCATTGCTGCTGCCCAGTAGTTGCGTGAGTTTGAGTGCAGGGCCTAGTTAGTTTGTCTCTATTTTTCTATTGCACTAAGTATTGTATTACAGGACAATAGGTTAGCCTGCAGCGAATATCACCATGGACAGATGGTTTGTTTGCGCACTTTGTCTAATCACAGTAAAACGATGAACGATAAGTGCAAAGTTTAAAGATTGATTTACCGCAGATTCGGGAAGCCTTGAGAGAACAAAACGTGCTTCTCAAACTACTTACAGATTATCCAATGGACATAAATTAATTATATTTTCAGACCAGTGTATTATATTACACATAATTCATATAAAAAACATTTTTGTTTAATAGGGAAATATACATAAAGCAGAAACAGAAGGCTGCAGGAAAATACAATTCTGAGAACCTTGAGATCTCATTCATAACTCTCACAGGTCCTTTTTATGTCATATGGGGTATATACTAATGGCTAATGGGCCTCATAGCAAGACCCCTGCAAAGCCGGCCAAATCAATGGGAGTGTGTGGGGAGTGGGGGGGGCGGGGGGGGGGGGAAGGGGGGATTGGTCAAATTCAAAATTAAAAAGCAATTTCCATGATACAACAGGGGGGTTTTATTTATAACAATTTAGATATACAACAGACAGTTTGCTGATCTATAGTAAAGAGCAGGGGTAGGCAACCTTCGGCACTCCAGATGTTGTGAACTACATCTCCCCTGATGCTTTGCTATCTCTGTGGCTGTAAGGGGATTATGGGAGAGGTAGTCCATAACATCTGGAGTGCAGAAGGTTACCTAGCCCTGGTGTAGAGACATATCAATTAAAATTAAATTCTTGCCCTATTATTAAGGGTCTCCAATATCTCACAAAGTAGGGAAGTCATCACCTTCCCAAATCCCAACTCTCCCCAATTCAGGTGGACACCCACCAATATGTCTGAGGACCAACCAGTGAATGAAACATTGTTACAGTATACAGTATCTGCTCTGACACTGCCTTGACAATGTGTTTCTTCCATTCAGTAATGGAGACAATGTGGGCTCCAGGTGTGGACTTTCACCCCCCCACCACCACCATCACCCTGTGTATCCAGGTAAATACAGGTAATATCGGAAATAAAACAGAAACAGCCTTAAAAATACACGTCTGGTCTATTTCTACTTCTTCTCAGTTTTTACTCAGTTTTTACCTACCTGAGGCCACTTCACATCCTGTGAGAAAGACAATCCCAGAGATAACTTGCAAAAACAGCATTTCTTCAGCAGCTCAAAAGCCTTTGTTCATAAAAGCACCAACCGAGAATAGCAATTAAAGGTGTTTTCGGGATATAATAATAATAACAAAGTATTTAACCAGGAAAGGCACATACGAAAAAACAAAGGATACAGTGTCATTAGCCTTCAGCTCTGAGACTCTTATTCATAGATCTGAGCTATTTACACCGTAGCTTGTGAGATGCTCATCCAATCAGATCTCAGCTTACCCCCACTACAGCCTCCCCTCGCACTCCCCTAAATGCTTAGTTTCATTTCCTGAAGACAGAACAGTTCAATGAAAGTGAAAGTAATGATGAACAAAGAGAAAGTACCCGTCCTATGCCATGACTCCAGTCATCCCTTGGATTAATACAGGGCGTAACGCGAGGCATGAGCCAGGATAATGTAAATAGAAAGCTATGTGTTAAATAATTAGCAGTGTTTTGGTATTTAGTACTAGGTAGTAATCTGCAAAACGCATTGCGCGTTCTTAGTAAATTATATGAATATGAATATATTCACAAATTAGGACTATTTTAGCATGTTTGCTGAACTTGTGTTGGATTATCAATAAACTCGCAGTTTTCTGCAAATTATAATAACAGTGCACATATTTATCATGGTGCGCAGCTATATTCACTACATTGATTATTTGCGGTCAAAGAGCAAATAAGGAAAATGACGTAATGTGTCTGAGTGTATAACAGAGCTCCCCAGCAATAATACTCCCAGTAATGTGTCTGAGTGTATAACAGAGCTCCACAGCAATAATACTCCCAGTAATGTGTCTGAGTGTATAGCAGAGCTCCCCAGCAATAATACTCCCAGTAATGTGTCTGAGTGTATAGCAGAGCTCCACAGCAATAATACTCCCAGTAATGTGTCTGAGTGTATAACAGAGCTCCACAGCAATAATACTTCCAGTAATGTGACTGAGTGTATAACAGAGCTCCACAGTAATAATACTCCCAGTAATGTGTCTGAGTGTATAACAGAGCTCCACAGCAATACTACTCCCAGTAATGTATCTGAGTGTATAACAGAGCTCCACAGCAATACTACTCCCAGTAATGTGTCTGAGTGTATAACAGAGCTCCACAGCAATAATACTCCCAGTAATGTGTCTGAGTGTATAACAGAGCTCCACAGCAGTAATACTCCCAGTAATGTGTCTGAGTGTATAACAGAGCTCCACAGCAATAATACTCCCAGTAATGTGTCTGAGTGTAGAACAGAGCTCCACAGCAATATAACTCCCAGTAATGTGTCTGAGTGTATAACAGAGCTCCACAGCAATAATGCTCCCAGTAATGTGACTGAGTGTATAACAGAGCTTCACAGCAATAATACTCACAGTAATGTGTCTGAGTGTATAACAGAGCTCCACAGCAATAATACTCCCAGTAATGTGTCTGAGTGTATAACATAGCTCCACAGGAATAATACTCCCAGTAATGTGTCTGAGTGTATAACAGAGCTCCACAGCAATAATACTCCCAGTAATGCGTCTGAGTGTATAACCCCAGCAATAATACTCCCAGTAATGTGTCTGAGTGTATAACAGAGCCCCACAGCAATAACACTCCCAGTAATGTGCCTGAGTGTATAACAGAGCTCCACAGCAATAATACTCCCAGTAATGTGTCTGAGTGTATAACAGAGCTCCACACCAATAATACTCCCAGTAATGTGTCTTAGTGTATAACAGAGCTCCACAGCAATAATACTCCCAGTAATGTGTCTGAGTGTATAGCAGAGCTCCACAGCAATAATACTCCCAGTAATGTGTCTGAGTGTATAACAGAGCTCCACAGCAATAATACTCTCAGTAATGTGTCTGAGTGTATAACAGAGCTCCACAGCAATAATACTCCCAGTAATGTGTCTGAGTGTATAACAGAGCTCCACAGCAATAATACTCCCAGTAATGTGTCTGAGTGTATAACAGAGCTCCACTGCAATAATACTCCCAGTAATGTGTCTGAGTGTATAACAGAGCTCCACAGCAATAATACTCCCAGTAATGTGTCTGAGTGTATAACAGAGCTCCACAGCAATAATACTCCCAGTAATGTGACTGAGTGTATAACAGAGCTCCACAGCAATAATACTCCCAGTAATGCGACTGAGTGTATAACAGAGCTCCCCAGCAATAATACTCCAGTAATGCGTCTGAGTGTATAACAGAGCTCCACAGCAATAATACTCCCAGTAATGCGTCTGAGTGTATAACAGAGCTCCACAGCAATAATACTCCCAGTAATGTGTCTGAGTGTATAACAGAGCTCCACAGCAATAATACTCCCAGTAATGTGTCTGAGTGTATAACAGAGCTCCACAGCAATAATACTCCCAGTAATGTGACTGAGTGTATAACAGAGCTCCACAGCAATAATACTCCCAGTAATGTGTCTGAGTGTATAACAGAGCTCCACAGCAATAATACTCCCAGTAACAAAGCTCCACAGCAATAATACTCCCAGTAATGTGACTGAGTGTATAACAGAGCTCCACAGCAACAATACTCCCAGTAATGTGTCTGAGAGTATAACAGAGCCCCACAGTGATAATACTCTCAGTAATGTGTCTGAGTGTATAACAGAGCCCCACAGCAATAATACTCCCAGTAATGTGTCTGAGTGTATAACAGAGCTCCACTGCAATAATACTCCCAGTAATGTGTCTGAGTGTATAACAGAGCTCCACAGCAACAATACTCCCAGTAATGTGTCTGATTGTATAACAGAGCTCCACAGTAATAATACTCCCAGTAATGTGTCTGGGTGTATAACAGAGCTCCACAGCGATAATACTCCCAGTAATGTGTCTGAGTGTATAACAGAGCTCCACAGTAATAATACTCCCAGTAATGTGTCTGGGTGTATAACAGAGCTCCACAGCGATAATACTCCCAGTAATGTGTCTGAGTGTATAACAGAGCTCCACAGTAATAATACTCCCAGTATTGTGTCTCTATAATAATTAGAAGCCAGTCTGTGTAAATACATTGTTTTGTTCTTAGTCACATTTTACAATCTTAGTAAATCACCTACAATGTATCAGAACAGACCCGCTCATGGTCACATCACCTCTAACAGACCTAAATTTAAAGTGTCCCTCTTTGTCCATTGTAAATGTTGTGAGGTATGCACATACATACATACAGAGGGAGAGAGAGAGACTGAAAAAGAGAGGCATGCAGAGAGAGAGGCATATACACACAGAGGAAGAGAATGAGAAACACAGAAAAAGAGAGAGACGCACAGACGGGGACACACACACACACACACACAGTTTCAGAGACAGACGTTGTGCATTTTGAGGTTGAAAAATCCTTTCTGCTTTGAATAACCTTTAAGATATTATTGTTTTGGAGTGATATGTACAAACATGCCCATTTCTGCTGCTACAACAACCATTAGTAAATCTTCCTTCCTAACAGTCATTATCGTTATCGTTAGGTTAATTTCCCTCAGGGTTAAAAATACACAAATGTATTTAACCACAATAACACCTACTATGATTAAAATTACAATTATAAATATTAATTTGAAAATGACTCATTATACAATTAAGGAATTTATACGGCATATGATAAATAGACAATACTCATATTTGAAAAAGACTATTCGAAGAATGAATTTTACTTAACACCCAGGACCTGTGTATCACAAAGACCCAAGATACTACACATGCGCTATATGTTCAGTTCCAAATCAAATTTCATCAGAATTCTGTTAAATTCAGCAGTTCAGACAAGTCAAAATGTTCAAATTGATGGAAATTGAAATGTAGTGTAAACGAATGAATTCGGAACCAATCAAAACAAATGATTTATTACCCATTCGTTTTTATAAAGATAGCAAGTTAGTGACTAAAGGGCTTTTCTTTTTTTGCTTTTACAGCAATTTAGTAGATCCTTAAGTGGGATTGCAATAATTAGGAATACCAAATTAGGGCGCTGTTTAGCAGATAGCTCCCTTATTTGGTAATAGAGAGTTATGTACTAAACAGCTGAAAGGGGATAATTAGGAAAAGGGCTTGTTTAGTAGATAACTCCCTAATTTGGCATCCGGTGTATATCACAAACATTCGATATACATTATCTGCAGACACACGTAGAACTGGTATGGAAACTAGACTCGGAGATTCATTTTGGGCTGAACTGTAATCCAGCCAAATAGAAACATATAATGTTATGGCAGATAAGAACCGTTCGGCCCAGCTAGTCTGTCCAATTTTCTAAATACTTTCCTTAGTCCCTGGCCTTATCTTATAGTTAGGATAGCCTTATGCCTATCCCATGAATGCTTAAACTCACAATCCGGCATGATTGGGTGATAGGAGGCCAAAATGTAGATTTCCGAACGGCCACAAACCCAAACATGCTCATTTTGATTCGTGTTCAGAGTGCCACTCCTGTTGCCAGAAAAAAAAGGTGTGGAATGGGGTAGAGCTTTTTTTTTGTGGGGTCAAATAAGAAAAGTAGCTTGCCATGATGGACAAGACGTCTGCCCAATCATGTGGGCCCCTCCTGTCCAATAAAGAGGTAGAAAATTAGGAGACAACCACTAAATGTTGATTTTATTCACAGATAAAGTGACAGCCAGAGACGGACTGACAACTCACAGGAGATCAAGGGTCCCCCTCCTAGTGCAAGGTTTTTTGGCCACTTCTGCTCTTATCCCCCTTTTTGCATTTCTCACACAGATATTATGGGCGCAGTGCCCAACTTCCAGAATGGCTCTTAGAGCTACACTGTCATGGCCCCCAAACAGTGCACAATTTACTCTTAAGGAGCTAATCCACCTCAAATCAGTGTTTTAATAAAACAGTGTTTTTGGTTGGAATAACCCTTGCTGGCATGTCTCCCAGGCTATTGCCGCGCTTTCATTAGGATTTCCCCATAGGAAAGCATTAATCGATTCTTTCCTATAGGGATTCCGATGACACTGGATATCCTCATCCAGAGCATGAGGACTTCCAGCGTTGTTTAGATGACCAAAAGTCATCCAAGGACCCAGAAGTTCCTCTAGTGGTTGTCTGGTAGGAGGAGTTAACACTAGCAGGTAATTATTGCAGTTTCTCAGAAACTGCAATAATTACCATTGTAGGGTTAAGAGACCTGTGACATTGCACCCAAACCACATCAATGAGCTAAAGTGGTTTGGATGCCAATAGTGTCTAGAGGGTCTAAAATACCCAAACACCTTGATTTAATTTGTTTAATCGGCATCAGATATTAAATCATCAATCTGTTTTAAAAAAAAAAAAAAACTTTTCAAATTATTTATCTACAAAAAATTTCCATAGACTTTAAAGGAACACTAACGTTAGGAATACAAACATGTATTGCAAACACTATGGTGTTCCCCACCTATTGAGTTTTACTTATCTGTCCTCCCTCGCTGACCTGGTCTCATCGCAGCTGTGCCATCTCCCTGGCTCAGAGAGAATACAGAGAGTCCCCATACGGTGACAATGCTGCTTTCCTTTCACTATTACCAGATTTACAGACAATGAATGAATTAATCGTATTGATTTCATTATGGGATGTGCTTGTCTTTGTTCACATAATTTTTATTAGTATTTGGACAAACATCAAATTACAAAAAGAGGTTACTTGTTGCCTTAATTCTAACTTGAAAATGTCATTTTGTAAGATATTATCGTCATATTCTAAGTTGGTGAAATAGTTACATGGTTGGTGTAAATATCCAAAACATTTAACAATTGTTATACACTGTTTATATTTCTGTTCTCATTATACAATTTCGTGTGACTAATGTTTCTACAGAAGAAACATTTTTAAAAATGTAAGACAATTTTTTTCAATTTAACTTAAAATAAATAGAAATTAAACATCACAATAGAATGAAATAAATACATAAATAAAAGGTTCTATGGAAGGTGCTACTAAGAGGGCAA